AGTTTTTCCGTGTTCCTCAGCTCCAAAATACCCACAATAGCCAGAAGGCATTTTCGCATACAGTGGAGCCTTGCTTAATGCGTTTAATCCATTCCGACACCGAGCTCGTCATGTGAAACACCCGTCTTGCGAATAGTAGCCAATCAGACTTCGTTGATTGGCTGCGGGCAACCGAGGATCCACAGGCACACACACACACGCGCGCGCACTGACAACTCCTCAACTGCGCGGAAGCTCTTCAATCGAAACATGGTTTCTGCGAGTGGCCCGCTCGCCATCTGAAACACTCGTGAATTAAGTTAAAGGCTTGCAAATTAATCCAGGCAGGTACGCGGCTTACTTATTTCATCGGGCACGTCATTCGCTTCATCAGTGGTGGAGACTTTGGCAGTTGCAACTGAATGGTCATCTGGTTCGGAAAAATCGTGTTGCTGACCATCGTGGCTGAGTGTGTCGTCTGCCTCTGAACCCCGGTCTGCATGTGGTTCTTCACCTGACGCGCCCTCAACATCGCAAGGCGCCATCTTTTCGAACATCTGGTCATCTCTGGCTGTAGACAGGTCTGGTGTATGTGTCAATTTATTGTCCTCGTTTTCTTTGTCTATGCATTGATCCGTTTCCTCAAGCGTGTAAGTGGCGTTGCCTATAAGAAAACCCATATAAAAATTCTGATCCCAAGCAAGGCAGCCGGCCCATTTGCAGGCATGTACCGACTCTGTAGAATGGGATATGACCAAACTGTGACATGCGATGATATCATGCCCTATAAACCTGCCACAGTAAATAATAAACCGCCCGATTGTATTTTCGACCTTGGGTCCACCGAGCATCGCGGTGCGCTGAGGCAGTTAGTTGGTGGTCACAACTTGGCCAATTTGCGTATGGACCGGCTATGCGCCAATGAAAACACGAAAGCCACAAGGCAACCAATCAGAATAAACAGATAGGATAATACCACATATTGCCTATTATACACGATTGGGGAAGAAAGTGCACACTGCAAGATTCACCCTGGACGTCAAAAAAGAGGGAGTCTCGAGTGAGACCGACAGATTTCTGGCTGGAATCACAATATGGAAATGTCATCGTTCGGGTATCCGAGTCCATCTTCCGCATCCGCGCCCTTGATATCGCCGTCTGGGCAGCAGCATCTTTTTGCGCTCTTAGTGGCGGTCAAGTTATTTACAAGTCGAAAGTTGAATTCAAACTGAATTCGTATGGCTGGCGGAGTGTAGCGCAACCTTGTCCCAAGTGCCATTCAACGAATTCTCCTTCATTATGTTCGATTGTGCAAATAGATATTT